GGGCCAAGCACCGAATTCTGTACCAGGCTCAGGAAACTTTTGAAATTACATCTAAAGGAATAATTAAATATTACTCCAGCCTCCAAAAGCTGTCAGTGAGATGTTCACTCTGTGGGGCTCGTGTGATGCTTTGTGGGCTGACCCATATGCATGTCAGGTCTGCGTACCAGTGCAACTGCTGCTTGTATGGTTTAATAAGGTTAACATTCAGAAGCTGCATGTCCCACCCCAAGGAATGCCAATATGGGTAATTCAGCAACCTCCATATAAGGGCATTAATGGGAAGGACAGCATTCAACCTTCAACTATCAAGGCTCATTTCCAGCAAAGACAATTTCACCCACCCAATCCCATCATTACTTGTTACAAGCCAGAAAAATTTGCTGAGATCTTCTTTTCCCGGCAACATTTTACAACAGCAGATTCCCAGTCCACGAAAGTCAAATCAGCTGAAAAACACAGTTAAGAAATTAGTCCTCTTCACAGGGCTCACTCCTTCTGCTGTTTAGAAAACAGTCTGACAGCCCACGATGTTTGTTACAGAATATACACCATGAATTATCTTGATGGTTTGTTTTGAAAAATTATTGCAGCTTGTAAACAGGACTGCAAGATATGTACCAGAAGTGCAGTTTTTCATTCAAATCCATTTTAACTTTCCTGCAGCCAGAAAACAAGATTGCTTCTAAAAAGCTCACCACTTTTTATGATTATGACAATAAGGCACAGGCAAAGTGCTGGCTCTAGAAAAAAAGGCCGCAGCACATTTCCTATTTTGTCTAATACATCTCAATAGCTGTTAAAAGCTAGGGGAGGAATCATGTCACCCTCCAGATGCTGATGGACTCCAATCCAGGGCATTCTTCATTATTGCTTAGGCTGGCCAAAATGGGAGCTGCAACCCAACATCTGATTGGTCACATGAAGACAATCTCTAGCATTTCAGATTTTTCAGAATTTCAGAAAACTCGACATTCCTGACACAATTATCATTTTCCTTTGGTTATAATTAATTTTCGTTTAAAGAGGCAAAAAAGAGTAGGAATATGTTTCTATTTTGCACTATTACAAAAATAAAAATGGATGCATGATCTGAGCAGAGACCACAAGAGGAAAATTCAGAAACACAAGAAGATGACAAGAATATACTGTACTCTTTAAATCCTGATTTGTAAAGCTTAATTCTTGATTGCCGAACGCCCAGGGTGATCAATGCAACACAGGCTGTTTGATGAACAAGTCTTGCTAGTTCTTTCAAAGCAGTGAAAGCTTTGATAATATTTTGGGGAGAAAGAAAGAGCAGGAACCTGCATATTCTTCTAACCAATTAATCACTCGAGTGCAATTCTCTCTCTCTCTCTCTCTCTCTCTCTCTCTCTCTCTCTCTCTCACACACACACACACACACACACACACACACACACAACTCCTTCTTTTGGAAGCCTATTCAATTCCTCTCACAGAAAAAACAAAACAAAACAAAACAAAAAAAAGGGTGGAAAACACCGTGTGCTTTTTGTGTCCTTTCTTTGAAAATTCAAAGCTGAAGGAACAACGAAAGCAGGAGTTTCATTTCATTGCTGCAAAGAGGTGGAGAATTTCAAAATTAGAGCAAGCACATACTTTGGTAATTAGGAGAGCTCCAACTTAAGTTATGGCCTGCATGAAATCACATTTATTTTAACCAAACAAAGATGTAAACACACAGCTAACAGAATATCCTCAGCTGAACTTCAGCTGGAATGAGAGATATTTTTCAGTACAACTACAACACCCTATGCTGGTTAAGGAATCGGTTGACTGCTCTTTGTGCTTCCTCGTGCTTTTGTGGGGAACAGAGAACAAAAAATAACAGTATCATCCAAGTGTAGGAACAGGATGCCAAACATTAACAGGACATAAACAAGGGCCTATCTAGTCCCATATTCTGGGTTCCCACAGTGGCCAGTCAGATGATTTGAAAAAAACCCAAAAGCAAGATACAAAGTGATCAACCCACCATGTTCCCATCTGTATTACTGTTCTGCCCACTGGTTACAACCACATATACCATGATATTTATACAGGTTAAATCTGCCTTCTACAAAATGCTTGGGGCCAGAAGTGTTTTGGATATTTCTGGATTTTGGAATATTTGCCAGCTGATGGCTTCTGTCTTGCGAATGAACAACTAGGAAGGCTGTTGCCACTGTCTCAAAGCCAGAAGCTGATGACTGGAGGGCTCCCCAGAAATCCTCTGTACAGTAATCAGGTCCCTTGTATAAAACAAAATGGTGCAGTATTTGCAGGCTGCAGAAACATACAATGCTGCAGAAAGACACGGCTGGAGAGAGACGTGGTGAAATCTCAAAAACCTGCTTTTTTAAAAATGTCAATTTTCTAAAGTGAACTTTCCAATGTCTAGAAGGAGACAAGCAGAACCAGAAGCTGGTGGGTGACAAGACCTAGGAAAAGCAGCCATGACCTGCACACTGATGTGTAGCCCAAAATCCAGGCTGCTCTTTCTCTACAGCCCGCAATTACTGTACAAGAGATCTCTGGGGAGCCTTCCAGCCACCCACTTCTACCTTCAAGCCAGCAGCATTCCTAGTCGTTTGTTCACGTCTTTCTCCATCATCACATTCCTCTCCAGCATCACAAATGTGCACACTACACTACTTGTGTTATAGCTCCAAAGGTTTCAGATTTTGGAGCATTTCAGATAAAGGAGATTCATCCTGTATTGATGTTTTGACTAATATAGAATCACAGAATCATAGTTGGAAGAGACCTTAAGGACATTCAGGTCCAACCCCCTGCCATGCAGGAACTCAAAATCAAAGCATCCCCAACAGATGGCCATTCAACCTATGCTTAAAAGCCTCCAAAGAAGGAGACTCCTCCATACTCAGAGGGAGTGTGTTCCACTATCAAACAGCTCTTACTGTTACGAAAGTCCTCCTAATGTTGAGAGTGAATCCCTTTTCCTGTAGTTTGCATCCATTAACAAGCTTGCTCCATCTTCAGTATTACATCCCCTCAAATACTTAAACAGGACTACCATTATCACCTCTTAACCTTCTTTTCTCTAAACTAAACACACCCAGCTCCCTAAGTCACTCCTCATAGCGCTTCATGGCTTCCAGACCTTTCACCATTTTGGTCACCCTCCTCTGGACATGGTCCAGCTTTTCAACATCCTTTTTGAACTGCGACACCCAGAAATAGACGCAGTATTCCAATTGGCAATAAAGAAAGTAATAGTAAGGAAAAGAGTGCTCCATTAATTTTCTAAAGTAGATAAAGTTGCCCTACCACCTGCATTAACCCTCATCAGGCTTTTATTATGCATTGGCCTGAGATGGAATAACTGCAGTGACTTTGGAATAACAACGCTGTGCACCTAGAAATACCTGGCATCTATGGCATTTGCCACAGATTTTGTAGATCTTAAAATTGGAAGGAATGGGAGAGAACCACTTAATTCAGATTCCAACTCAAAAGTGGTCAAGACGCTCCCTCACCTGGCCTTCAGTGAGTGGCCAATGAGGGCAGATGGTGCAGGAGCATCGAATACCATTCATGCCTCTATTTATTTTCGCAGCAAAGGAAAAGTCTCAGGATAAAGACAGGTCTGTGTCTGATTCACCCACAACAAAGTTTCCAAAATACACCCATTTAAAAACTTCTCTTTTCTTGTCCCCTCAACAGGTCTCCTGCCACGCATCTCTGGATTCTAGGTACAATTAAAGATAATTGCTTTTTTAAAAACCCTTTCTGCTACATCATCATTAATCATTTCTTTGTCCATACCAAAGCTCCTAGACACATTCACGCCTTTCATGTAGGTAATATGTCAAGGAGAAGCTATCCATAATCAAGCCAGAGCTGGGAGGTAAAAGCAGGAGTTCTACAAGATGAGTCACAAAGTAGATTAATTTAAATCGTCATTCAAAAAAGGTCTACTTAAAAAACTAAATCAAGTTTAATAAAGCACAGTTTTCTTGAATTAAAGCAGGTGCTAACTGGTTGCTTAAAATATCATTAACACACAATTTGTTAAACACTAACTAAACCTCTATAATACTTTGTTGTTGTATGCCTTCAAGTCATTTCCGATCTATGGCGACCCTATTATGGAGCTTTCTTGGCAAGATTCGTTCAGAGGGGATTTGCCTTTGTCTTCCTTTGACACTGAGAGAGTGTGACTTGCCCAAGGTTAAGAGCAATGCAGCTGGAACATGTTATCCAAATGCTCTTCCTAGCATGCAATTTTATTTACTTACTGGTAACAGAATCAAACTGTGAAAGCCCTGGATTTCTCTTTGGCTTATGTTCCGGATTTCTCTTTCGCTTATGTTTGTACACACTGGCACAAGGACACTAAACACCACCACTTACTTCAAAACAAAGGCTCACAATCCTGGAGAGAGCTAGGTGTGCAGGATTCAGAGCTAAGTGTCAAGAACGTTCCAGAAGCAAAGCTAGCAATTACTAGGCAGTTTTCTCCATGAGCTGGAGAATAAACATCCATGCTGTTTAGTTGAAAGAGTCATAAATATTCATAATTTGCTTCCATAGGAATTATAATACATTGGTTATTACAGCATATTTATAATGGTTGATTTCAGAAATCAAGCATTTCCGCCCCCCTTAGATTTTTCTTTTACATAGGAAAGTAGGCTTTTTAATTCTGTTTACTTGATAGAAAGTCTTGTATTGAATTTTTCAAAAATATTAAGAAATACAATTTTAAAATTTAAAAATTTAAAAGTCAATTTTTAATCCCTTGATTAAGCAAAGAGAATGAGCTCCCATCTGTTTAGGAGTCTGGCACGATTAGAATTTGGTTGAAACAATGCATGCTGGAGAGTGGACCCACTGCAAACATGTCAGGAGGACATTTTTACGTATGTGCACTGGCCACAAGATTTGGTTTGATTCCCCAATTCAGATCGGAGGCTGCCCACTTCAACTTCGGTCTGAATCTCAACTCAGAAAGCCAGAATTTTGTGCTTCCTACTGATGTGCCGCAGTGGTTTGTGTGCTGGGCTGTGAATCTGGAGACCAGGATTCAATTCCCTGCTCAGCATGAAACCCACTGGGTGACCTTGGGCAAGTCACACTCTCTCAGCCTCAGAGGAAGACGGCAATGGCAAACCTCCGCTGAACAAATCTTGCCAAGAAAACCCCATGACAGGTTCACCTTAGGGTCGTCGTAAGTCAGAATAACTTCAAGGCACACAACAACAACGACTATTAACAGGAACCAACAAACAACTATTATTTATTTTTGCTACTTGTCAAATTGTCTAAAATTTTCAGCCATACTACTCTGTTATGAAGGGATTTCATTTATAAAATTGCTAACAAAAGTCAGGGGTGGTGAAAATGCTTCCCACACCCCATGATACTTCATTCCTTGCTCAAAACTAGTTAAAACAGTAAAAGACATCACATCACTTCCAGACTGAAAAAAATACATTCCTGCAGCCTATGGTCTGGGGTGTGTGAAAATGACTCTTGTTTTAAATATTGATACCAATAGCATTTTTATTTCTCAGTGGAACTAGATTAATTTTGCAGGATAGTTTGCCCTCCTGAAGGGATCAAGCCTGCCAAGGTTCAGATGAATAAATAAAGGAGGCTTTCTGCAAATGCAATCTTTACATTTTTAGAGGTTCAAAAGGAGAAAAAAAAGAAAAAGAAAATGACATATAACACAGAGATAATTTTATTGATAGTTTAATTATATATTATATTTCTTATTTTTGTATGCTGTGAATTTTTAGTTATGTTTAACTGTTATGAGCTGCCTTGACTCCTGAAATGGAAAAAATAATGGGACATAAATAATTATTATTGCAAAAACGGCATGGCATAGGACTACGATTCTGGAGGCCAGTGTTCGATTCGCAGTTCAGCTATGAAACCCACTGTGCAAGTCACATGCTCTCAGCCTCAGGGGAAGGCAATGGCAAACTTCCTCTGAACAAGAAAACCTCAAAGTAGGTTCGCCTTAGGGTTGCCATAAATCAGAAATGACTTGAAGACACACAACAACAAAAGAACAGCAACCACAACCTAGTGAGGAAACTTATAACATTTTAAAAGAGCAAGTGAAGCAATCTGTGTGGAAGAAAAATCTTTAAGAAGTGGTGGGGACAGGACAAAAATCTTTAAGAAGTGGTGGGGACAGGACAAACCTTTTTCTCTTCCTTAGCCAAGAAGGTAGAAATATCAGAACAACAGGGGTTGGACAGTTATGGCAAATTAAAAAACAAAACAAAAACAATTTAAGGATTTTTGTTTTTATTTTCTGCTCAACTGTCACGAAAATCACAGAATGAGCAATTAGTATGTGGATTGCCTATGTGGAGCACAGAACAGTACAGGCAGAAGGGCATGAACATGCAGCATTTTTCAGAAAGCAGAGCTGGCTGCTGGACACACCAGCTTTTTTGTCTTCACTAGGGAGGAAGGTTATGTTCTGCCACATACAGACATCTTCCTCTTCTTCCATCAATCTGGAAGAAGTGAGACCCAGTCCTATTAAGTGGGGGCCCAACATCTCCCAAAAGGGTGCACAGGGCTCTATGTGTTGTACCCATTCCCATAAAAACAATTTTTGGCCCCAAATGCTCTCAAATGCTCTCTAGGGGACAAGGAGTCATTTTTGCTATGCTTTTGGGCTTTTCTGAGCCATTTTAGGCAAGTAAGCAGAAGTCACTTTTTGTTTTAAAAAGAGGCCTCTCTTGGACCTAACTGGCCAATGGTGGGCCAAAATGTGGTGGAAATGTCCCCCACTTCCTATGAAGAGTATCTGGGGACAAAGAAAGATTTCATTTGACCCCTAGGGGAGATCTCCAAACATAGTGGGCTTTGGGAGCAATAAAAAAGGGTGGAGGGGGAGAAAGAAAAGGGGGAAATGAAAATGTTTTGAAAAAAATTGTGGCCCCAAAGGCTACACTTTGCACAATCCTGTTTAAACGTTAGGGTTGTAAACACTCAAAGCAAGTAATAGGTCCCTGGCCCTGTGTTGTTCAGTAAAGCACCAAATGCAGTGATAATGTGTTTGTCGCTGTTGTTGCGTGCCTTCGAGTAATTTCTGACTCATGGTAGCCTTAAGACAAATCTATCATGGGGTGTTCTTGGCAAGGATTTTTCAAAGGGGGTTTGCCATTGCCTCTGAGGCTGAGAAAATGTGATATGCCCAAGGCCAACCAGAAGATTTCCATGACTGAGCAGGGATCTGAACCCTGGTTTCCAGAGCTTCCAATATTTATTATCATCCTTTTAGACTAAATTGGATCATTACACTGGAATAGCTTTTATATTTTATTCTGCTTTTATTTTGCATCCAGACAGGAGATGCAAAACAAATCAGACTGTTAAAATGACAAATGTATAAATATACAACACATATTTGCTTATTATTCTAGCCACAATGTAGCATCTTTTGGAGATACTAAAGGAAGTGATCTACTAAGAAAGCTACAAATTATTGACAAGAAAAGTCCATATGTAAAAGTATCGCTATCTTTCCATATTACTATAACCTCTTCATATCAGAATAACTCACCCTTAATTACCAATCCCACAAATTAACATTTATTGAAAGTACACATTAAGAGATGCACAGTCAATATACTGCCAAGGGATGGAGGTGCAGCAAACTGGACTGAGGTGCTGAGGAATAACCTTTTTTCCCATGACAGTTTCCTGCGCTAAATGGTTTCTCAATAGTTTCTACAAGGCAAACAGCATCTGAAGGGGATATTTTAAATCACAGAATTCAGAAGAGGTCAGTTTAATTCTAATCTGTCTGACTCAGTTCTAATCAAACATTGTCCCAGTTCGACGGTCTGTAAAGAATTTTAAAGTAAACAAGATCATCCAATCACAGAACTGATTATTCATCTAGTTTGGTCTTTCAAGCTTAGTTAATACATCCAATGACTAAAATGCACAGCCCTAAAAACCAAGCACAATGCAAAACAAAAACCTCAACATTGATAGTTTGAACATGCAACATTATGTACAGTATATTACAGTTGGACTATGACTCTGGAGACCAGGTTTCAAATCCTGGCTCGGCCATGTAACTGCACTGGGTGACCTTGGGCAAGTCACTCTCTCTCAGCCTCAGAGGATGGCAATGGCAAACCCTCTCTGAAGAAACCTGCCAAAAAACCCGAATGACAGGTTCGCCTTAGGGTCGCCATAAGTTAGAAATGACTTGAAGGCATACAACAACAAAAGTATATGTGAAAGCAAAAGGATGGAGAAATGTTACTTTGCCCACTATAAAAGAGTGGCAAGGGAAAGTGGGGAAAATAATTATTGAACAAAATTATCAGTTACAGATCTTCTAAAGAAACTGGTCAACTTTTGTCCAATATTGGAATTAATGTAGACCATACATTGGCAACCACAGTTATTTGCAGTAATGATTTACGTGTGATACATGTGAAGACGAAGAACTGTGATAGGATATTTATTTTGTTTTTTCTTCTTGGTGCAATAGGTGATTACTGAATTTTGTGATGTATAATTGTGACACGTGGAGTTGTGAATTATAACCCATAAAAAAAAATTGTTTTGTACTTTCAAGTCATGTCTGACTTACAGCAACCCTAAGGCAAACCTATCACAGGGTATTCTTGGCAAGAAATGTTACTGAATAATTAACTAAATAAAAAAACTGCCCAAACATGGATGACAGGGAAGCCCTGCATTCTTCATCAAGAGGAAGAGAAGACTTTTTTTTTCCTTTTCACAATTTCTGACTGCAGTACAGTCCTATACAAGTCACTAGAGTGACAACACTTACTAGATTATTTATAGATGGCACTTTTGCCCTTCTAGCATTCTTTTACAAAAACATTCAACTATTATGTTGGAAGGACTGTGAGGAATGTTGGATGTTAACTCATATGTGGTCCAAGAGTAATACACTTTTGGGATGAAATCACATAGGAAATGAGTTGTGTGGAAAGATGAGCTGCTTTCATTGTCTTTATTTACAAGTGAGAATTTTAGAAACAAATATTTAATTTCATCTTTTTAAAATGGCGGTATGCAGTGTGCAAACAGCCCAGAACTGGATGTCATAATACAGATGCACACTTGTGGCTCAACTGAGTTATGGACATCATCTTTAATCATCCTTATGGACACCTTTGAAACTGATGGCCAAGGTCAGATATATATGTAGAGTGGAGAAAAAGATGGATTCTGGAAAGCTAGACTTTCGTAACAGAAATGGGAGAATAGGAAATATTCCTCTGTGAAAGATTCTGGAATGATCTGTTTTTCAAATAACTTTTGTTTTCTATAAAGTCTCTATTTATGTAAGATGAGAAATGAATTTAGATAACCGATGAGTGATCTCAGGCATACAGCACTTCATGCAACCTTGGCATTTCTTTGTTTAAAAATGTTATTGTTTTTCTTTCTCCGATAACTGTCCTTTTGTATGGTTAACTTCTTCAATAAAATGTTTTAAAACAGAAAAAATAAAAATAAAACGGACTAGACAAGATTGCAAGCATCTTCCATTACAGTCTATTTTATTCCTGAAGGAAACTAAGCATTCTTGAATCATGGGGCCACTGCTGAGAGACTGTGATAGTGTTGTATTTTTCTTCTTCTAAAAAGGGTTACATAAGCATGTGTTTGTGTATTTATTCAAGTCACCTGTCGACTTATGGTGCCCCCATGAATTCCACAGGGTTTTCTTAGGCAAAGTGCACAAGCAGTACCATATACAAACAAAACAAAACCAACCATGCCAAAACAGTTCCATATTCAAATGTGACAATCACCCCAAAACAAGAGCAATGTATGGCTACAATACCAGGCCACTTTCAGGGTAGAGCGTGGATTTTCTGAAGTATCATTTAAAGCTCTACGAAAACCTGAAGAGCCAGTTTGATCAGAGGCCGTGGCAAAACACCAGAAGTGAATGTGAGCACCACTGGCAATGACAGCTCTGAAATAGTGCCTCTAAGTCTGCGAGATGCTGGCATTTGTACAAGGCCTCAGCTCTTTCCCCTTTATGTACCTCAGCGACTCTCCGTTTTGCAACTT